TTCTTGCGGTATAGCTATATGTAGCTTATGTCTTTGTTGCAGCTTAAAAAATCATAGAAATAGTCCTTTCTTCTACAGAACTTCTGTTTCAATAAAGTTTCTTCTAGTAATGTATATGCATATGTTTGAGCTTTATGATTTTCTAAGAGCTCTGGGAAACAGTATATATAGACGTTTATGTGTGGTCAATGGTACAATAAAAATATAAGACCAAGAGAATAGCCAAAGGTCAAGTTTTATACTAATGATCTCAATGAGGGTAAAAATGCCATTTGGTGGTAAAGATTTATGCAACAATTCATACAAAAAGAAAAAAGGAATTTGACTTAAAATGTTAGAAGACAAAGTGAAAATGATGCAATCCATGAAAATAGTCAGCTATCACACTAGGTTTCTTGCAGTAACTTTCTCAAGCTACATGCATTTTTGGAAATCACTTTATTGTTTCATAAAACATGCAATAAATCAAACTAAATGTGAGCTCGCAATCCAGACAGTTTGATTAAAGTCTATTCTTTAATCTTTTGTTAGGTCATTTCCTCTAGTAGCACTTTAGGGGAACTTCAAACAGTGTTACTCTTTCCCAAACATGAGGCTCCTCTGGCCAGGTAAGAAGAGCACATACCACAAGGAAGGGGAGCTGTACGTGTGTATTGGTTCATTTCTATTTTGTGTTGAAATATAATATTCCAATTTCTCCACAAGGGTGTTCCAGGTAATATAAAAACATGTAAGACACATAAATGTGAAAAGTAGCAGCTTGCTTGTGACCCCCACTCAGACAACACATACATTATCTCTTACATTTCCAAACAAGCAAGATGGCGTGTCTTTTTCATTAAGCAAAACACAAGTTCATGGTCTATTGCATAAAGAAATTTCATTTGTTAACCAAAACCCAGAAATTTCTCTAATATACAAATTTCAGCAAAATAAAAATGTACTTCGGCATTTTTTTTTGTACATGGTTTGTCAAATGCCTTCTGTTTCACTCCAGGGTATGTGATGATACCCCCATGTGCTTAGGGGAAATACAAAGCCCATTCCTGTGCCGTGAAAGTGACTCACCCTGGAGCTATACTGACTTGTATCCTCCCTCCACAACTCAAGGCTTCCCATCCCAGATCCAGGAACCAGAATCATGGTACAGTGTCCAAATCCTAATTTGAGAGATTATATCATATTTCTTATTGCTGGAGCCCATAAAATTGCATTTCATACAACTGCCTCATAAGACTCTCTCCACGGTTTTCTAAGCCTGTCACCTTTTCTGAATCTTACCAAGTTACCTGTGGCAATTCAGTAGTATCACAAATGGCCGCCTATAGCCTAAAGTGACAAATATGGATAACATAAATAGTTACAATTAATGGATTGTGATGAGTCGTGAAGAACCACCTATCCACTAAAACACCTGCTCCAAGACATTCAGATAATTCTCTTATGCATTGCTTCTGTGGTTTTGATAGCATGTGGCTGTGAATATCCTGTGGGAGAAGTTTTGGTCATATAAATGGAAAGTTTATTGTGACAACCAGGAAAGGAAAAACTAAATACCATAAGCAAGTCATCTAACTGAGAGTGTGATGGGTCCAAAAGAAGTGCTCTCTCTTGTCTCAAGTTCAAAGGGGAAGTCACAGAGAAGATTAGAAAACAAGTGAACAGGTCCAAGCTAGGAACGAGACAACCTTACAAGGTATCCTGTGAATTTTGATGCTTATTTTTCTTGTGAAGAATGAAGTATATAATTGAGAAACCCTGTCTAAATGGCAGAGGCCAGAAATACAGAAAGAATTTGGACTTGCGATTTATGTATGTAGGTCCATCATCTTTGTACTGTGACCACTGTGTCTTTACCTATTGTTTCCAAGGAAATGCCTAATTTCTCTCCAGTAAAAAGTACACAAAAAACATAAAGACCACAGTTGATTAGAATTTAAGGTACTATTATTAAGGAATCTTAATGCAAATATAAAGCTTGCTATCATTTTACCTAATTTTTGTTTTATTTACTGCAAATAAAAATATATTAACTAAATAAGATTCATAAACAAACTTACTTTATAAAATCATATTTAATTTAAAAATATGTTATAAGGAGCATGAAGTTGGTTAAAAACATGTAGAGACATAATGATCTGACAAGTTTGGGGGGAAAGTCAGGTGTTCAAAGGACCTTTTTCCAGAATGTAAAGAAAAATTGAAAGGATAAAGGAAGAGGTCTCAAGAATACTGTGAGTCACATCCTGGGAACAATCCTCATTAAACACCCTAGCTGGCAGTCACCAATGCCTCTCTCATCATAGCTCAACTTCTCCAGGTCAAGGAGGTAGTGAAATCTTTCCTTCCCCAGTGAGATCCTTGCCACGTTCCACAGCCTGTAAAGCTCATTATCATCATCCACATTGTCTCTCTTGTCCCCTCTTTTAAGGGAGCAATGCTTTTCCGCAAGAGTGTTCTCAGATGTTGCCTTCTTTGTCAGAGATCATCTTGGGTCTCCTGCCCACAAGTGCCTTTGTTTCATAATCCAAATGCCCATTTTGAGTGTACACCTCACAGAACTGTCCCTGAGTCTACTTCTCCCAATAACGGAGAACAATCGGGAGGTAAAATGTATTGCTTACTTACCAACCACTCAGCACATGATAGGGATTCAGCAGTCACATGTTAGCAGAAGAAACAGAGGTGCTGAGCATTTATTCAGAATACAGATGTTAAAGAACGCCAATAGAAAAAACTGGTATGGAAGTGGATCTGAGAGAGCTAACACCTTGCCTGTGAGTGATCACTTTATAGAAAAGATATTCAGACAGTCGTCACAGCTCACCACCTTTGAGATCTGCAGACTGGTTAAGGGCCTGAGGAGAAGAAGGAAAGGTTGGCTTTCTGATCTAATATTTTAACTTGAAGTAGTGAAGTCAAGATAGAGTACAAAAACAATGCCCCCTCATAGAAAGTATTTTCATCCTGATTAACAGGCAGGAAAGAAACCATTCCAGGTAATCCCTGTCCTGTAGGGCAGGAGAAAGGGTCCATCTGTTTAAACCAGTTGAAGAAACAAACTAAGATTCAGGAAAAAATCTACCCAGGATGAAAGAATATATGCTTGCCTGGTTTCTCCTTGACTCTCTCAGAACAGGGGAGTAATTCAGGGACCAAAACCCAAATACTGGCATAGGTCATAAAAGAACGATCACAGAAAAAACAACTCATGTGACAGATAGATGGAAGACTGTGGAATGTAGAAAACAGAAGAGGTCATATCCTATATCAAGGCCTCTGGTAACCTTTTACCCACAGCCACCAGTTGTCCTCAGCTAACCTCCATGCAGGACTGGAAGCCCATCAACACCAGATCCTTTGAAATTTTATGAGAAAAAAATTCTGATTTTAATATGCATTTTCTAAATTTTAAAAGGTAAAAATAATCTAATTATTTCAAATCATACTTGAGATGGTCCTGTTCAAGCCAAACAGTACGCACATGAAGCCTGGATGTGGCTTTTGAAACATTAATTTCTACCAACTGCTGATCTGGGAAAATAAATGGGTGCTAAGGCATTTCTCCGTGAGTCAGAAGGTAGAGGTAGGTCACTGTGACTAGGAGCTTCGTCTCAGTCTCCGTGTTACCTGGCTTTGGGCACAGTTCTGATGCCCTCGTGGTCCTGTCTACTTAAAATAGACTCCCCTTCTGACCAGGATCTGATCTTGTAAAGCAGAGAATTGGTGCCACATGCTGGGAGTCCAGCTAAAGGCTCTTTTTCATTGTACTCTGGTCAGACAAAAGCACACCAACACTAGCTGTGAGTGCATTCAGCTGGCTGTCCAAGGAAGAGCCCTGTTACAGAGACTTGCCACTGGTGGCTTCAGAGAACTGAAAATCAAGCTGGCGTGTGCTTCTCTAAAAATGACACTGATTCCATAACAAATTTCCTCTCAAGCACTTGGTAATGTTGTGACTCTAGGCTAGAGTTTCCCTAGATAATTCTCCCTCTTAGAAACATATTGCTATAAAGCTTCCCTGGGTAGTTGGGTAGCTGGCATTTCAGGGGACAATGTAAGGGGCAAAGCAGCACCTGAGCAAGCGGATGACCTCCAAGCTCCACAGCTTTCCACAGCTGGCATTAGGTTGAATTATTGTTTGCTAATCTTATTTGCTTGTTTCTGTTTGTTTGTTTACCCATCAGGCAAGGTCTTGATAATAGCCCAAACTAGCTTCAAACCCACAGACTTCCTAACTTCTGACTGCTGAGACAGCAAGTATGCACCACTACTCTGTGTCTTCAAGTCATTTTTTTCAAAAATAAGACTTTTATATGAGCCTCAGAAGATCACAGCTGAAATGGTTTACAATCAATTTTAACTCATTTTTTCTTCCCATAATATGAAATGAGGGAGCCAGTTTCCCTGGTTTACTGGAGAAACAGTCCAAGGTTTTCCACAGCAGAGAGGGGAGCTGATTTCACTGCAGAGAGCTATTGTAAGCTTCAAGGGTTTGGCCCAAAAGGTTTTGCTACCTCCTAAAATCCTGTCAAGCAAAAAGTAGAAATGTATTTCAGAGCAGCTCAGGAGTTTCTGCAGAACTTGGAGCATTATCACCTGCAAGATCAGCTGCCTCTAGATCTTTTACCTGTGATCAGCCTTCAGCACTGAACACTGTACCAGCCGCATGTTTAAAAGTAAATTCTTCAACAGAAGATTAGGAATCAGTCAGGACTGACTGCCACTTGTGAATGTAGTGTGTGTGTGTGTGTGTGTGTGTATGAGAGAGAGAGACAGAGAGAGAGAGAGAGAGAGAGAGAGAGCTCTCATTAAGGGAAGATCTATGATTTGACAGCCTCTCCGCTGTGCCTGCTGCTGCTTCTGTTACTGCGGCTCTATGGTCTGTCATGAGTTGAAAAGGGATGTGAGGATTCAGAGAAACTGCCGCTGTGAAGACAGAGCCTCTACGAAGTGATCCGCCTGCCAGACAGACTATACAAGGTTTTTCTGCAGGATTGGAAACTTGGACCTATTACCACTTCATTTACCCAGAGAGGCAGGCAACGTGACAGAGTGAAAAGGTAAGAGCAGAAACTGTCTTCTATTAATACTGGGGACTTGGAGCATGGGGAAGTTAGGCGCAAAGGCTTGCCATTTTTCACTCTTAAGAGCCAGAGGCAATAGCTAAATTCCTACTAGGTTTAACCATTGCACCTTTTCTCTTTTTTCACTGGTATCTTTTTCTTCTTCATTGTACCTTTTGGGAGCATGTGAGAGGTTTCTTTGTATTTATTTTTGTATCTAGCATTTTTTTTTTAAGTTTGGAATTTTTTATTTGTTGTTATTGTTTTTCCAACTGGACCAGTTTTAAAACAGGAGCCTTCTCTGCTTCTTTTTTCTTAAGATTTTTTTTTTCCTTGTGAAGAGAGATTTAACTTGTCCCTTTTAATGTGATGTGGTCAAAACAATTACTTCATTTTGCTTAGGACTGAAAAAAAAAAGTGTTCAGAAGTACATTGGAGAAACTCAGTGGTGTAAATAGAGGAAATGAGTTGCCTGTGAGTGTGGCTTGATCAGAAATGGTGGCATTGTGAGTGAACACGTGTGTGACTTTTCACAGGGGAAAGTACTACTGCAGGAAAGGTGAAGGCAGGAGAGATGTTTTAAAGAGTGTCTGTGTCAGAGAAACTCCCAGCCACTGAAGATGGAGAATGAAACACTGAGTGAACTGAACCAAACCGAGCTTCAGCCACAAGCAGCACTGGCCCTCGAGTACCAGGTGGTCACCATCTTACTTGTGCTCATTATCTGTGGACTGGGCATTGTGGGCAACATCATGGTAGTCCTGGTGGTCATGCGAACCAAGCACATGCGAACCCCTACAAACTGCTACCTGGTGAGTTTGGCTGTGGCAGATCTCATGGTCCTGGTAGCTGCCGGCCTCCCCAACATAACAGACAGCATCTACGGTTCCTGGGTCTATGGCTATGCAGGGTGCCTCTGCATTACTTATCTGCAGTACTTGGGAATTAATGCATCCTCATGTTCAATAACAGCCTTCACCATTGAGAGGTACATAGCAATCTGTCACCCCATCAAAGCCCAGTTTCTCTGCACATTTTCAAGAGCCAAAAAAATCATTATCTTTGTCTGGACCTTCACATCCATTTACTGTATGCTCTGGTTTTTCCTTCTGGATCTCAATATTAGCACCTACAAAGACGCTATTGTGGTATCCTGTGGCTACAAGATCTCCAGGAATTACTACTCACCCATTTACCTAATGGACTTTGGTGTCTTTTATGTTGTGCCAATGATCCTGGCCACTGTGCTTTATGGATTTATAGCCAGAATCCTCTTCTTAAACCCCATTCCCTCAGATCCCAAAGAAAACTCTAAAATGTGGAAAAGTGACTCGACCCAACAGAACAAGAATTTGAATTTAAATGCCGCTAACAGATGTTTCAACAGCACTGTATCTTCTAGGAAGCAGGTAAGCAAAGCTGAACTTCCAAGTCAAGGGAGGAGATGTGAAATAGAGTTTTTGTGAAATGGGATCAACTTTGTCCTACTTAGCTAGTGGCAAAACCAAAATACAATCATGCAAATGTTTCACAGTATAAGCTTCTGCTTTGCATATTAAACACACCTCTGGATCAACTGAAGATCTAAAAATAAATGGAGGGATTGGATAGCTCTTTAGCAGGAAAGAATTCCCTATTAAGATATTGGGAACTGTAGAAAGAACTCCAGAAATCTGGATTTAAAACACTTGCACCTCCCTCAAAATACTATTCGAACATTCAGAAAACTCATGGGGAAAGTTCTATTGCATGACGAAGAATACCTTTCAGGAACTGTACTACACACTTACCAAGAGAATTTGAGAATAAATCAGTGAGTTAAAATAATGAAACTTTTCTTACAATATGTAGTTACACACAACCAATTCCCACAAAAGACAGGTAATTTGCCTTTTTCAGGTGATCTTGATGAGAGTGATCCTCTAATCCTTTTCCCTAGCTCTTTCCAAGTTGTCTTAGCATGCAAAAGCTGGGAATACATTTTCCTCAGGGGGAAAAAAAAGGATTTCAAAAGAATGGCCAACATCAAGATGAATCAGTTATAAGCAATTTTAATGTAGGCTTTCTAGCTTAGAAACTGAAACTCTTTTATGCCTCCAGATAGCCTATTGTACGTGTGGCTACAGTGGAATGAGGGTCTTATTAGTGACTAAAGCATCTTCTTTATAAGATAATGTAAAAATGGGAGGCTGTATGATGTATACTCATCTGTTTGTGTCTATACAACTGTCCTGGGATACTTATGAGTCTAACTTTCAGTTCTTTCTCCTTCTCTATTGAATGTAATGAATACGAAGTAAATATTTATTCTCATAATGAAAAGAGAAATCATGTAACCAACAATTTTGTTTCTTTCAAATAACTTGAGTTTTCTTTTATTTTTTTGTGCAAGGAAAACAGCTAATTCTATTTGTGTAGGTAGAAAACTGAGTATGCTTTTAGAGGCATATATGTAGGTCATCCATACTATAGCTTCTTAAACTCTATGTTACCTAATATGTTATGAATTGTGATTGGATAAATGTACACACATTTTTACATGCACACAGCAGAGCAAACTTACAAAGTGAAGATGCTTGCAACAATGAGTGATCTGCAAGTAAAGAGAACACACGCAGCATTTTAAGTGATATGAGACACGTGATTTACAAGGGGTTTACTATGAAGACAGAAGGGAGTGCATGAGTGACTACTACCAGGTCTTTGCTTCTGTACACAGCACTGCTACATAATAGAAGGTGTAGCTGGTCATTACCCAAAGCTTGATTCACAAAAATGGAGAAAGATACACTGGCCATCTGCCAAGACAAATACTAACAAATACGATAAGACAAAAAAAAGACTATGCACATCTTAATTAGGGACCAAACCTGACTTAATAGCAGCAGCAAGGTAGGCAGGCCAGTTAGAAAATGTGTTCCTTATATTCCCATTTATATTCTTGTTATAATTTTTTAAAGCTTGTTTGTCTGGCCTAATGTCCTTTCTATCAATTATAGTCGTTAGCACCTCTCAGCATTAATACTGTGCTTTAGCTTGCTAATTATGTAAATGTTCACAGTCTTTCCAAAGAATATCAATGATGAGCATGTAAGAGCAATGTACAGTGTTTAGACACGAGAAACTCAGCTCTGGATGAGGAAGATTTGAAGGTTCAGAGACAGGGTAAGGAGGCAGAAAGTTAGTTGCTGGTGATACAAGCATAAATAAGATCCTCTGGAGTAGAGATTCTCACCCTTCCTAATTCTGTGCCTTTTAATACACTTTCTTACGTGTATTCTTATTTTATGGGGACCCCACCATAACATTGTAACTGTAATTTTGCTCTTGTTATTAATCATAATGTAAATATATTTGTTTTCCAATGGTCTTAGAGGACCCCTGTGAAGAAGACTTTTGATCCCAAAGGAATCGTGCCCCAAGGGTTGAGAAACACCGCTCTAGAGGTAGCATTTAAAGCCATGTGAATGTGTGTGATGTACACGGTGAGAAAAGAACCATTCAATATGGCAGCAGGCTCAAATTTGGATGGGCAGTGGCAGCCCCAGTGAATGGGATCCCAGCTGTGAGTGGGGCTCGTTTGTTCCAAAGTTAGTGACCTATGTTCTGGCTTTTTCGATTTTTTAAAAACCCTCTTAAGCACTCATTGGGTTCAAATCTTCAGGTCTTATAACCTAAGGACTTTTAGTTTAATATTTCTCTCTGATTTTTTTTTTCTTTTGGGCAAGTGTAATTTACATTTTACTAAATACATATCTGGGCCAGGTCCTTCTACCCAAGTTACTAAAAGCAAATGTGTGTGTGTGTGTGTGTGTGTGTGTGTTTTAAAGAAAGAAACAAACTTGAACAAAGCACACACACACAAAAGTCCAGTGTGAGACGCAACCCTGGAATGTCTGCACTTGAAAGGTGTGACAGGAAGACAAGTTCAAGGCCAGCCTGTGGAGTAGTAGGTTGGAAGTTCAGGGACTCTATTTAGGACTCTATTTAAAATAAATAAACAAACAAAAACAAAGGAAGGAGTGCAGAGGCACAACAGCGGAATGTCCTCGTTGTTGGGAACACAAAGAAGGTTTTTAAGTTTCATGACTCATTCAGCTGGCAACTGCATGCACATTTTAGAGAACAAGCCCCCCTCCCCCTGCTTCAATATCCAGTTCAGCATAATATAGTCCTCCCCCTCCCACCTAGGAATTTAATGAACGACTGGCCTTACAAGGCAATGAGTATTGAGCTTTCCTGCACTGAGCTTTTATTAAACTTTTCCCAAGTTTTCTGGGGCTGTTACATTGGCTTTCATGTTTAATTGTTTTATTTCTTTTAATCATATGGACTCAACTATGTTCATACTAATATAAAAAAAATCATTAATTTGCAAAAAACAAAGTAGTTTTTACTTAACACGCATGTAGCTAAGTGTGCCACTTTGATTTTACTTTTAAAGAATAACTTCCCCCCTAGAGGTGGTGGTACATGATTTTAATCCCAGTACTGGGTAGGCAGAGGCAGATGGATCTCTGAGTTCCAGACCAGACTGGTCATGAGAGTGAGTTCTAGGACAGCTAAAGTTAAATAGAGAAATTATGTCTCAAATAAACAAAAAAAAAAATTATCTTCCCATTTCATGATTCATATAGTGTTTCAAAGACATTTCCCATAAATGCTCTAAATCACAGCCTCTACAGCTGTGTGCTTTCTGTCCTTCAACCTAGATGAGTACACCCTGTTTGTTTGCAATTTTAGATTGGCAGCTTTGAGCCAAGATTTTATCATTAAGTACATATTCTTATATGTCTACAAAAAATAAAAAAACTTGTTCCACTGAGAATTCTCCATTTGGCTGATATAGCAAAAAATAATCTTAAAATTTGCTATTCTTAAGAATCATACTCATCTATACAGTTCCTTGTGAAATATATATATTTCACATCCAAAGTTTCAGGAAGGCATAGACTATTCTATAACAAATTCTTAGTCTTGTTGGATTTTTAATATGAGGGAACATTGTGGTTGAGATGTAATATATATGAAAAGAAAAAAAAACAAATGCCATTATCTTACTATGATTAAAAATTTCAAACTTAAAGAAAAAATAAGTAGGAGAAAGGTAAACTTTACTTTAGTTAGCATTTAGCAAGCTTTTTAATGATTATTTATTCATTTATTTATTTTATTAACTTTACATCCTTGTAGCCCCTTCCCTCCTCTCCTTTCAGTTCTACCCAATCTCCCTCCCCCCTCCACTTTTTCTCAGAAAAGGAGTGCTCCCTTTCCCATCCACCCCAGCTCATCAAGTTGCATCAGAACTAAACATGTCCTCTTCCCCTGTGGCCTGTCGAGGCAGTCCTGCCAGGGGTAAGTGATCTAAAAGCTGTGTCCAATGCAGTCCTCACTTCCCCTACTAGAGGACCCATTTGAAGTCTAAGCTGCCCATCTGCTACGTCTTAGTAAGGGCCTAGGTACAGTTCATGCATGGTCCTTAGTTGATGCTTCAGTCTCAGCAAGCCACTCTGGGCCCTGGTTAGTTGGCTGCTGTTTTTCTTATGGAGTTCCTGTCACTTATGGTTCCATTCTCTTCACCCCCCAACCCACAATTACCCACCACTCCTTATTTATAGACCAATGTTTGACTGTGAGTCTCAGCATCTGTTCTGAGGCACTGCTGGGTATGTTGTTTTCATTTTATTTTCTTTATAAGTCAGAGTCTGGCTGCTGCTGCATGTACACACACAGGTATGGGGCCATCCACTGGACTATGGGCAATGTAGAAGAGTTGGCATCCCTGATGAAAACTGATTCTGTATCTCCCATTGGCTATCACCAACAGTTTTCACCTAGGGGTTGAGGTCATGCTAACCCCTCCAGTATCCATGCTGAAATATTTACTGACTTAATTTTGTGTGGGTTTTATATAGGCAGCCACAGCTGCTGTGGATTCATGAGTATGATGATCCTAATATGCCCAGAAGAGAGTTTCAAACCAGCTCTCTTCCAACTCTGGCTCTTAACAATCTTTCTTCTTTGATGTTCTCTGAGCCTTGGAAGAATAAAATGATATGGCCATCCCATTTGGGGGCCAACCAGTCATTAGTCACTAGTTAACTGCACTTTGAGTAGTTGTGAATCTCTGTGTTAACGTCTATCCACTGCAAGAAGCTTCTCTGAGGAGCAAGATTTGCACTAAGAATAGTATTTACAAGACAGGTTGACCTTATATCTATTATGTAATAAAATAACAATACAGTACCTGACATTTTGTGCAACATCTGCAGAGAAGGCAGCAGTAAGGGGACAAGCCGAAACAGAAAGAAGATGGTTGAAAGGAAGAAATAGTAGGTGGAGACAGGGCACATTCAGGGAGAATTGTTTGGAATCATTGGCATGGGCGATGGACAAGGAAGATCTGGTG